GCAGCGCGGCAGCCCCGGCTCCGAGTTCCGGGGCGCTGAGGGCCCCCCCAGCACAAAGTGACCTCCGCCTGCGGTGCGGGCCGGGACCGCAGCTCGCCCAGTGGCCTCGAATCCACCCTGTGGTGCCTTAAACGTAGCCGGGGTGCCTCCAGTCGAGCTCAGGGTGGCTTGCATTGAGTCAGGAGGGCCTCAGAGCTATCCTGGGGTGCCTCAAATGCAGCGGGGGTGTCTTGAATCGAGGCGGGGTAGCGCCAATCAAGGTGGGGTACCTCCGATCGAGCTCAGGGTGCCTCACACTGAGTCAGGAGGGCCTCCAATCTATCCTTCGGTGCCTCAAATGCAGCCGGGGTGTCTTGAATTGAGTTGGGGTACCTCCAACCGAGCTGGGATATCTCCAATCGAACTCAGGGTGCCTCACACTGAGTCAGGAGGGCCTCCAATCTATCCTTCGGTGCCTCAAATGCAGCCGGGGTGTCTTGAATTGAGTCAGGGTACCTCCAACCGAACTGGGGTATCTCCAATCAAGCTCAGGGTGCCTCACACTGAGTCAGGAGGGCCTCCAATCTATCCTGTGGTGCCTCAAATGCAGCCAGGGTGTCTTGAATTGAGTCGGGGTACCTCCAATCGAGCTCTGGGTGCCTCACACTGAGTCAGGAGGGCCTCCAATCTATCCTGTGGTGCCTCAAATGCAGCCAGGGTGTCTTGAATTGAGTTGGGGTACCTCCAACCAAGCTGGGGTACCTCCGATCGAGCTCAGGGTGCCTCACACTGAGTCAGGAGGGCCTCCAATCTATCCTTTGGTGCCTCAAATGCAGCCAGGGGTGTCTTGAATCAAGTCAGGGTACCTCCAACCGAGCTGGGGTACCTCTGATCGAGCTCAGGGTGCCTCACACTGAGTCAGGAAGGCCTCAAATCTACCCTGTGGTGCCTCAAACGCAGCCAGGGTATCTTGAATGAAGTCGGGGTACCTCCAATCATGCTGGGGTACCGCCGCTCGAGCTCAGGGTGCCTCACACTGAGTCAGGAGGGCCTCCAATCTAGCCGGGGTGTTTTGAATTGAGCTGGGGTACCTCCAGTTGAGCCAGGGGGTGCCTTGCACTGAGCCAGGAGTGCCTCAAATCCATCACGTGGCGCCTCCCATCTAGCCAGGGGTGTTTTGAATCTAGCCAGCATGCCTCCAATCCAGCTGGGGCGCCTCAAATCCTAAAGGGCTGAGAATCACTGCGCGAAGCCGTCATTGTGGATACTGGCATTCCCTCCATCCCCTCTATTTACAGTCAGCAAACATGACTCCATGCTGAAACAGCGAAACAATTTCCAGCCTTATCAGAAGGAAGTGTGTGTGCGTGTGTGTGTGTTGTGGGGAACAACTAGTGAAAACACTGTGTTTCCTGCAGCGGCCCCGTTCCCAAGCTGGGAGAGCAGAGCCGACAGTCCTTACTGCACCGGTAAGTCTGGGGAGAGATGTCAAATGATGCGAGAGCCAGCTGGCAGCCAGCCAGGGCTGCTCTGAAAAGGAAGCTAAAAGGAGAGAGCCAGGTGTGGTGGCTCAGAAAAGCCCTCTGTAAAGCTAATGAGCAGGCAGAGTTTTCACAGCGGCCCCCCTCCTCGAGCTGCCATGATCCTTAGCTGATTTGCTTCCTGCAATTCTATTCCAATTACAGCCCATGGAGTTAATCTGAGACGCCGAGTGGTTTATCGGATTCTTGGACACATCATTAAGCAGCACGACGCAGCTCGCGCTCCTGCGAAGCTCAGGTTCACCAATACACACACACGTAAGCTCCTTAAATACATTTTTTTTTTTAATTTGGACGTTGATAGCTCTGCAAAATACTTCTCCCAGCCCCAGTCTTTTCCACATTTCATCTATAAATAAGTCATCAGTCAACTTAGCTTTAAAAAAAAAAAACTCTTCTGAGTCTCAAAGATCCAGTCTTTTGCTCTCCCTGAAGCCTCATCTTGTTAGTTCTTTCACCACAATACAATGTACTCCATAGCATTTCCTTTTAGCTTATCAAACAGTTTAAAAGAGGAAAAAAAAAGTCCAACTCAAGCTTTAGTGAATGAAAAATAAAAAGAAGGAAAACCCAGCCCCTTTTCACTCCATTAGGATTAGCAGTTTGGTTTCAGGATCTGCTGTCTATCTGGGCCCCCAGCTTTGCATGGAGGTGATTTTGGCTTTCAGCTGAAACATGCTTTATGGTAGTTAAATAAATAAATGGGGAGGGGAAGAGACACCTCCACCATCCTGCCCCTGGAGGCATCAAGTCTCAGAGGCTCAGGAAACCTCTTGCAAGAGCTTCCTGGATAGAGACTGGATTTTCCTGTAACCCGTTCTGCGCAGGCAGCTGCAACTGATAGTATTGGAAATCACAAATGGTGACAAAATGCCGATTTTAGCAGGGAGGGGGAAGGGGAGGGGAAGTCAGGACAGGTGCCAGCAACAGTACTGCACGCACAGGCCTGTAAACAATGACCAGGGAACAGCATCTTTCCATTTGCAAAAGGGGCCTTTTGAAAAGAAACTTGGTTCCTTCTCAGCAGGGGTTAGAGCAGACAGGCCAGTCTGGGTTAGTCTCAAGAAAAGAAACATGTTTTCCATATCTACTGATGGGAAATGCCATTTTCCTTGAAAGGGGCTAAATTCCTCCCGCTCTAACAGACAGCAGTAGGAATCCTTGCTGCCTTCGCCAAGTCACTCTGTCATCACATCCGCCTTCGACCTGCCACTTCCCTTCCCCACCCTTTCTTCCCCCTGGTATCTTCACTGGACTCACCCCAGCCTTTGTCTTTTAGTCATTTTCCCACTCCTCAAACATGACTACAACACAACAGTTCTTTGCCTTTTCCAACATAGCAGGCAGGTTCCCACCCACCCACCGCCTTACTTGTAGAGTTAGGTGACTTTCCCCCCACAATTTATTTTGCAGAACAGGACATATCTGCAGTAAACTGCGACACAGGCTGACGCTCTGAGTGCTGGGGCAGGGATCCAACCAGCCTGGTTAATCTAAGCAAAATAACTCAAGCTCCCAAACTGAAATACATAAAGTCAGTCAGCTGACACCCAAATACTTTCCTGTTAAGGCTTAAACTAGCAATCCAGCCTCTGTGATATACAGTACAGACAATGTGAAAAGGAAAAAGTTAGTTAAAAAAACCCCCAAACCCCAAAAACAACAAGAACGAAAACCTTAGCACTCGGTAAGTGAGGGGCTTTGCTTTCCCTGTGGCAAGTGGCACACCTTCAGAAAAAGCCAACTGGCTGTCTCGTGGTATGGATCTGCTCCCCCACCACCCCTTTTCCATTTTCATGTTTTTTAAAAACAGCCAGAAAGGCTGAAAGTCAAATTCTCACAAAAGCCCCACACGTGCGAGTGTTGCGTTAAATGTACAACAGGTGCCAACCTTGAAAAGGTCTTAAAAAAAAAAAAAAAAAGCCCACGCGCGCGCGCGCACTTTGGCACACAAGCGGAAGTGATTTCACTCGAGCACTTCTGTCACGAGAGATGCTTTTTTGTTTTCTCCTTCGCTTGGTACAAAGCAGGGGTGTCGCTGTGGCGGGAAGGACAGGTACGAACGCTGCAGAGATCAAGTGTCATTGCTTCGATGCTGCTAAACACCTGGGATAGGGTGAGGTTTCTGAAGCTGCTGGTTGATTGCATAAGAAAACGAATGGATGGAGACATTCACTGTTTTCAATGTGAAAACGGCAAAGTGTCATTGGGAGGAACTGTGCATGTACCAGAGGGTCCTGGGAAAAGGAACCATAAAAATATTATTATTTTTTTTTTATTAAAAGTCTCTTTTTAAATTTTAGGCTTTTTTTTCTTTTTTTCTTTTTTTTAAACCCTTAAGTTAAGTAAAGAGCAAATATACACCAAGGAAGCAGAGCTTCGAGCTGCTGTCACGGGCCAGGGGACTTTCAGTTTCTTCTCTTCCCAACAGCGCAAGTGGCCAGTGTTCCTGAGATCTGCAGCTTTGGCCCACCTCATTAGCCAGCGCGAACTGAAGAGGTCATTAGGCCTTATGGACTCGTCTCAGCCGAATGCCACCCGCAGCCGCCTCTGCAGCTCAGCGGTTCTCTCTGCCAGGCAGAGCCTTGCTAATGCATAGACACACCTGGGCTCCGACTGTGTCAGCGGTGGCAGACAGAGCGGCAAACGCAAGCAACCGCAGCTCTTTCCATTTCCACCCAGCCTGGGCTGTAACATGAACCTGTAAGTTTCGAGCTCACGCTTTCATATTACTCCAAGAACACGCCATGGATTCCAGCTAGAAAGCCCTTCCTGAAGGAAGCCGGGAGGAGTCTCAGCAACAAAGAAACTAGCTGTGCAATAGGAAAGTGCGTTTCAAGGTAGCTTTAAAACCAGATTAAAGATCAAGCTGCAGCAGCCATGCTCCTTGGATCGGGTGGGTTAACATTCATGCTTTCTTTCACAAGTCTGGTGGGCAGAAGAGTGGTGCGCCCCCTGCTCCAGCAGGGCACAGGTCCCTTGGCAGACAGTCCCTCCTGCCCAGTCTGTGGGGTTTGTTGGGTTTTTTTTGCTCAGTGTCAATCCCGTGCAGCTGTCATCGAAACTCATAGATGGGTGCACTGTGCTCGGGCACGTGGGTGAGATTCAGGGACTGATACCTGCGGGGAAGGAGAAAAAAGGAGACAGTGACCAGAGGCAGCAAGCCAGTTTCCTATCTAACAGTCCTAGAACCTGATCACTCCATTCCTGAACTGAAGCACACACTCCCCTTCTAATGCTAAGGCCCAGACACCCAGACATCCATAAGCCCCTGAAGGCAGTGGAGGTTGGATGGCTAAATACCTGTGAGAACACGGGCCCAAGATCTTACATCTAGTCTTGTAGCCATGCTTGGGGCAGGCTGGTTTTCAGGTATCGCTGCTTCCCAAACAAGAAGGAGGTTGATGTTTGAGTGTGTTCAGCATGGCCCTAAGCCACATTGGCAGGTGAGGGATTGTGATGTCTCCCTCCTCAGCCATCTGACCTCCTGCACGTCCCTAGGGCAGCCAGTCATTACCCTGTCGGGAGGCCAAGGAACCCTGCCTTTTGGGGCTAGCTAGGAGATGGACAGGAGTCAACTCCCTCCTCAGCTCCTCACTCTCCAGCTGTTGCCAGCAAATGCTCTGGGGACTTCAGACTGGGAAGCAGGGAGCCAAAGCCCAGAGCTAACACCTGTAAGGGCCCTCTGTGGCATGTGAGACAGCCATATGATGGCAAGGAGAAGCAAGTCCCTTGTACAGTGTCTCTAGCTGATGGAGGAGCCTTCCGGACAGCAGAGACTACTGGCAGGTCACAGAGCCAGCAGCTACCAAAGGCAGGAGCCATTTGCCCAGGGATCTAGAGGGCCTAGTGATCCCATTGTATCGGTAATGCCCAACAGCTCTAACCAGTGGAAGGAAGCCCCGTTAGAAGGGTATGGACGCACTGGACATTTTGCTGACAGTACGAGGGGACATGGCTCCACTGCACAGCAGCTGCCCCATGGTGCGTGCCTGCATGCACGTATTGGCCCCACAACAGGGGAAGCCGAGCCACAGCAGCTCAGTTCGTAACAGAGGAGGAATCAATGACCGTAGCTCATTTCCCACCACCACGCACAGGTGTGCATGCAGGCCGTCACCAAGGAACGAAGGGCCCCGGCCCTGGCTGGGGAAGTGAATTCTGAATGAGGGCAAGTGGGTGGGATGAAGCTGCGGCAGGAGAGGCAACACATTCATCCAAGGCGCCGCCCACTCTTCGCTATCCCCTCACTCCTCACACATCATGGCTTCCCCACAACAGCCTTCTGCGGAGGCATGAGTCACCCGGGCCACCGGATGCTAGACAAGCAGGGGAGGGAACGAGGGAGACAGAGCAAAGCCTCTCAAACAGCTTTCAGAGAGTGGCTGAGATGCAGCAGCAGCACTCAGCAGCAATTAACACAGAGATGCCTTGCCCACACACCAGCTATTCTGACCTCAGCTTTGCTCTGCTCCCCGGCACGTGCCTGACCAGCGACAGGGATGCAAATGGGCAGCCCCTTGCGCCATTCAGGAGGTCAGGCAGATCAGCTATGGAAGCCAAATGCTCAGAAGCCTTCCCCTCCTACCCCTGCCTCAGCCGGGAGGGTGTGCACTAGGGAGCAGGCAGAACCACATTCCTTTAGTGGCATTGCACATTCCCATCACCACTTCCAGGGCAGCAGAGCAGAAGAGACAAAGTGACTCCTGTGGGAGGAAGGATGCCTCCCACCCCCTTACCATTCTGAGCTCCTGTGGTAGTAATAGCCCTCTATAGATGCTGCAGACTTCTGGAAGCAGATGTAATAGAACCCAGCAAAGGAAGCACCGCTGATGTCTTTGATGGTGTGATCAGGGACAAGAAACTGCTCCTGCACACAAGAGAATGAGGAAAACAGGGTCAGGCACATGCCTGCTTGCTTGTTACAAGGCAAGAGCCCAGCACTAGAAAACGAATGGGGGATAAACAACTGTGGCTGAGAACGAAGCTGCGAGTGTGCGTAGGTCGCAGCTGTGACTTCACTACAGCCAGAACAGTGACAAAGACAGACTATCATCTCAGTCACATTTCCACTATCACCGTCTTAGAGTCTGCCAATTTGGTCTCTAGCCAATGTTTAGGTGCAAGTTTGAAGCAGTTTCACTTCTTTCACCTCCCTCCACAATCCACTGACGTCTGGATTTCATGATTTCTCCCCCTCTTTTTTTTTCCCTCTCTCTTTTCAAGTGTTCTTTTCCCCCAAAGCTTTGGGAAGGACCCAAGTCAGGAAGGAGCATGTGTTTCTTTTACCCCTTCCACTTACTTACAAGAGCTGAGGTGGGGTAAAAGTCATCACTTTTCACAGGAAGCAAATACTGGACGACCCTCTCCAGCAAGGGGCATAGATGCCATTTGGCCAGAGCAGCCACAAGAAGGCTGGCATTTCAGCAGGCCCAGTCCATGCCTTTTGTTCATACCACGTGGACAGCATTTGGGGGACACACAGACACATGGCCTTTACCTTCCACCTCATGAAGACGTAGTCCCCGTTCTTCAGGTCCTCATAATCGAAGTCATCCGAGTTGAAGGTTTTCGCATACTGGTAGAAGGCCTGGAACTTCCCCTGAGGACAGCAGGAAACAGAGCCTGTTGCCTGAACAGAGCAAGCTCAAAGCGCGACAACTCAAGGAAGGAAGAGCTGCTCCCAGCCGGGCCCGTCGCACCATGCTCTGCATTGCCGGGAGCAGAGGAGCCAGCAGGGATTCAGCAATTTATGAGTTTGCTTCCAAGACAGCAAGTCACTGATTCCAGGTGGAGCAGCGAGACAAGGGGCTGGCTCCGGGGCCAATCCGGCTCTAGGCTGGGCAGGCTTCCACATTGAGCCCTGCCAGTCCTACTGGCCCCTGGCTGACACTCACATGGAGTGGCACAGTCAGATGAAGGCCACGGAAAGAGAACCCTCCCCACCAACACACACACACAACCCTCCCCGCCAGCCATGCTCTCATTTGGTTGCAGACCATCTCGGAGAGCATGGCTCTCGTGAGATGAATAACTTTCCATTCCCAGGGGTGTTGAGTCAGCCCCTTCCACCAACCAAGGACCCTTTTTTTTTTTTTTTAAATGAATGGATTCACTTGTAGTGAATGATTGCAGGTAGAAACATACTAAGTGAAGAAACCCAGCGTCCCGTCAGCCCTTCCTATAGGGACAACTGACATCAGGGCCCTGTATCACACCAGCACCATGCACCACTTCTGGGGAAATGGCTGCAGTCACAGCTCGCAGGCAAGAGTCTGTAAACCATGCACCCCTCCCAGTCCATGCTGGGCGAAGGTAGCGAGGGATCCATGCGGCATCCCCGCTCTGTGCAGGGGCACCTCGCCCCTCTCAGGCCTGTGCTTGGCAGAACCCCCTCTGCCTGCCCCTCCCCGCAGTGGAATGTACTGTTGGCAGCAGGTGCTCCACTGCGCCAAGCAGAGGGAGGAGGCACCCCCAAAGACCACACTCCCTCCAGGTGTGGGCCCATCTGCCAGAAGCCCATGCCACTCCTCCTGGCTGGCAGCATCTCTGAGCCCGCCAAGGCCTTTCCTCTGCTAATCAGAGGACCCCAAAGCTGCCGCTCCTCCAAGGGCTTGTTTCCCCTGGAGACTGTGGCACAGACTCAGCTACTGCCAAACCAATGCCATCTGTTAGTGCCAAGAAAAGAGCTTCCTCCACCTGCAAACTGAACTGCACGAGTCACTGACACAAGGGGTCTGGTCTGGGGCAATGACAGTAGCAGCCAGAGAGCAAGGAGGCAGCAGAAAGCAAGGCGAAGCAACCCTCAAAACACTGTTTCAGGCCCTCTCTGGCCCCCAGGCACAACCCCGGCTCTTTTTAAAGTCTTGGCACATCCCCTTTGGCCACGAGGTGCGTACAGGGCTGCTATGAGCCTCTCTGCAGCTTCCAGCATGCTCGCTTACCCAGTGCTTACGGTCCACGTCCTCGTCCGCATCCCATTTCCGGGTCAGGAAGGGGTGCTTTTTGCTGATGATCTCCCCCTCAAAGAAGGTGGTGAGGGTTGGGTACTCCTAGAAGCAAGCACACACACACACACAGAGGGGACTGAAGGGCATTCGGAAGATCTCGCATCAGAAACACCAGAGATCTGCCTATGAGGAACCCAGTCAGCAAACGCTTTCATCAGTACGACGCCATGTGGTCTGAGACACGGCTGTGATGCCCCCTCCTTGTGCTGAGCAAATCATCTTATGCTTCCCCGTATATTTGCACCAGCCCAGCCCTTCTCATCTCCTCCCCCAGCCACCTTTCCAGGCCTTTCCCCTGCTCCTGGAACATCCCAGAGCAATACTGAATCGGAGGTCTGTTGTGCACAAGCTCAGCAGACCCTAGGGCAGAGGCCAGCTGCTGCGTATCACCTGTTAGAGCAGGCAGCCTGCCCCTGGAGAAGCCTGTAACCAGCATTAGAACAGTATCGGATGACCAGAGCATTACCCCAATCACCTTGCTGAACATCTACTGAAAACAGAAGCAGCTCCAAGATGCTGAGGGTGGAAAGGTGGAGGTCAAAGAAACTCCTGCCTCTGTTTTTAATTTAAGTAAAACAGAGATGCTCATAGCCAGCTCACTGGTCACAGCACAGCACTCAAAGTGACATCAGGGACAAATTTGGACCCAAGTTTTCCACAAAGTTGGTTACATTCATCTCCCACAGCAATGCCGCCAAATGCAGATGACTCCGCTCATTATGCCAGCTTCGCTGTGGGATCAGCTGGCTGGACCTTTATCCCTCGACACCAGGGGTGGTTGACTGCGTTAGTCTGGAGTGAAGGCAGGGTGGCACCTGAGAGCCTACCTGGTTCAGAGGCATGAGATTTTGTCAGCAACAACCTACGTCACCAGACATTTCATCAGACCAGTGCACTCCTAGCGTGTGGCAAAGTAGGTTGCTGCTTAGGAAAGCTCAGGCCTCTTTGAACCAAGTAGTCTCCAAGGCCCTGCCCTGCCCTGCTATACCAGTGTCTGGAGACCTACTCCCTGCTTCCAGAAAGAGAAAAAGATTCCTAGTTCCTCTGCAGGAGGTGCTCACCTCTGTAAGGCCTTTGATCTTCAAGTATCCGCAGAGGTAGGAGTTCTCCATGTCCACATGCTGGAGGAGAAAGCACAGAAACCGTTCGTGAGCCTATGTCCCCTCAGCACACGGCTCCAGAGGCTCAGTCAGGGCTGCACAGCTCAGCTTGGGTCGCGAGATCACACAGCGATGAGTAACATGGAATGAATCACTTCCAGGGACCTCGCTCACCAGCCTTGACCAGACGACCATGGAACATCTTACCTGCTTCCAGCAAATTAGTAAGACCTCGGACTGCCACCCAGGGATCAGAGAGGAAAAGGAGTCAGAAGTGATTCACTCCGCTCCAGTGCCTCAGAGACAGATCTCGGATGAGATCCTGGGTCTCCTAAACTGTGGTCCTGCTCCAGCCACATGCTACCAGTGGTTCAAAGAGACCAGAGGGGATGTCCTCAAGCAAGATCTGTCTCCACTTCCCCTGGCCCTGACCGCCAGCTTTGGCTTTGAAGTCAACTCTGTTAACACATCATCTCTCCTTACTTCCACAGCGTTCCCAGTCTCTGCTCTTTACCCACCCAGCCACCACGTCCAGCCCTTTACGAGCCCGTCCATCTGCGCTGCACACAACAGCCTTCTTGGGATCCTCTGCCTTCAGAAGCAGCCCTCGTGTACCCTCAAGTGCCTTACTCCCAATCCCAATACTTTGCTTTCTCTCCTCTCTGTGACTGGGCTTACAACCGATTACTGAATCCATCTGCCACAGAGAAGCAAGGCACTGAGCTCTTCCATCACGAGGCCCGCGGTAGCTACAGAAACTTTTGCTCTGGACTCTCCAAATGACCAAGGGAAATCTCCAGGCACGTGGAAGAGTCTGGAAAACGCAGGCGTTGAATGGGAAGGAGGACCTTTCCCACATGGGACCTCTACAGATGGAACAGCTGCAGGTCTCACGGAGGACACGGGCAGACACACGAACATGGACGTGCACATGCATGACACGAGGGTTAAAGCCGGGAGCCCCGGCAATCTTTGGGAGAAAAAGGGCCTGTAGTGAGGCCCATCCACCATGGGATGTCTCCACTGAAACGAGCGGGCTCAGGTACGCTCGTGCGGTTGACAAGCGCGGCACGGTCAGCCAGGATCGACAGGGCGGTTCAAGCCCTCGGCAGGTCGGCTGACCTTGGGACTCGGACATTGCTCGACCGCCCTGCCCGGGCACCGGCCGCTCTCACGCACTCGCTACAGGCGACCGAGGACTGGCCGCGCCTCCGCAGCCGGCTGGAAACAAAGCCACAGGCGGCCTCACGAGAGGTTCGGATACCCAACGTGCTTCTTTCCACACGACCCCCCTGCTCGCCTGCGCTGCCCAAGGCCGTCGCGCCCGCGACTAAAAATAAAAGCCGGGCGGACGGTGACCCCGGAGAAGGCTGCGGGGACAAGGATCCCTGGAGGGGATCCCCTTGATCCGGCAGCTGCCGTCCCGGCCTCCCACGCGTGGCCGGCAGAGACCACGAAGGAGCCGAGGGTGCCCCCGGCTGGGCCTGGTCCGAGGAGCGCCCTGGGCATGCCCCGGCCCCCAGCCCCACTAGAGGCAAAGGGAGATGAACCCGGCAGCCCCCCGCCTGCGCTCCTCGCTCTGCGGCTTGAGCCCCAGGGCCCCCTGCCCTGCCCTGCCCTGCCCTGCCCTGCCCTGGGGCATCTCCCTGGGCAGCACAGCTCCAAGGGGGGCAGGCAATGGGGGTGGGGGGCAGTCAACAGAGCTGGGGCAGGCAGTGAGGG